CATGTTGAAATCTACCTCAAAAGTGTTCAGTCCACCTTCTCCTGTACATTAAAATGTTATCTAGTTATGAAAACCTATAGTTTAACAGATACTATTGGAAGTGCAGAACTATTACACTGCTAAAATAACATGGATACCATTTATCTTTATACAATTATGATCTGGTATATAAAATTAGGCAAGCTTTCCCCTTGCATCAATGTCATTCTGACCTTGATATTAAACAGGAGTAAACAAAGGATTGGGGGGTTGGTCTTAGGATTTTATGCTTGCACGGAATAGTCTTGGTCTGAAATTGTCCAAGTGTGCATATAGAACTATAAATATGATGCATTCAAATTACCGTTCTCCATACCTGCAACTGGTGACTATTACTTTTGGTTAAATCCCCAATTTGGTCCCTGAACTATTGTATGGACCCCTAATTTGGTATCTAAACTAAAAAATTCCTTGATTTGGTCCCTAAACTATAGTACGGACTCCCAATTGGGTCCTTATTGTTTACCAATTTGCTCCAAATTAGTCCTTCCGTACAAAAAAAAAATTGACGTGTCTAGTATTTAACGACGAAAAATAGTAACTTAACGGTAGAAAACAGTAACTTAACAGTAGAAAATAATAATTTAACAGTAGAAAATAATAACTTAACAGTCACGTATCACGTTAATAATGAAACACGTCAGCTGTTTTTGTATAGAATAACTAACTCGGGGTAAATTGGTAAACAGTAGGAACCAAATTGGGGATCCTTACAATAATTAAGAGATCAAATTAGGGATTTTTTTAGTTCAGGGACCAAATTGGGGATTTAACCTTACTTTTTGATTGTCATGTTGATGTCCTCTGCACCCTGTAACTTGAAATTGTAGTGGGTAACAATTATGTTAATCATGTCATCTCTTACTGGAACAACAATTTACATGCAATTATGTTTACAGGTCTGTGTCTCAACTACAAATAGAAACTTCCCAGGTCGGATGGGGCACAAGGAAGGTCAGATATATCTCGCCTCACCATACACGGCAGCAGCATCAGCTTTGACTGGTTATGTCACTGATCCAAGGGAGTTTTTGCAGTAAAATGCTGATGATTGATTATATATCTTATCGAGTAATCTGTAGTGTTAGATGTGTGACAATGAAATATTACAGACAAAACAGGATGAGTAGAATAACAGATGCCTTTGGCGATTGTGTAATGTTTTTGGTTGTTGTTGTCCTTGTTTCTTCAAGTTCAGTACCATTAGTAGCAAATGAAGTACCAGTTATGCGTATTAACTATTAAGTTCCACTTTCTTGATTCTTTTGGTGCATTTGATGATGAGCAATATAACACAGACCCATAGTCGTTAATTTTTTCAAATCTCTTTCTACTCATCCTCTTAACCATCGGAACATATTGCAAGCTGATGCTATAAACACGAGGAAGAGGTGAAAAATAGATACAAAGTGCCCAAATTTGCGGAAAGCCTAGACAAAGTATGGATCTTTTGCTTGTGAGCGTATGCTGTAAACCCGAGTATCCTGTGAGTGTATCTCTATTTAGTGTGTTCTCTGACAAAGTGCCATGATATAGACTGTAAGGCGCATGCAACAGAATAAGCATTATTTGCGCAAGCACACTCTTACTCATTGAAATATCCGAGTACTCAAGCTTGTGATGTACCCATCAACAGTTTCCTAGGATTGCAATGGAGCCAGAAACCTAATGGGATGACAGCTGCTAAACCTTTCCAGCTGCTGGGCTTCAATTGCTATTATTGGTGTTTTGCATGCAAAACAAGGTATGACTGTATGAGAAAAATGAAAGGAGAAAATTTGTTTTTATAGATTAACTTTTATTGCTAAATTGAGAGGACAAAGGTTGAAAAAAGGCATGGAAAAGAAAGAAACACAACTTGAAGGTGAAAGATCTTCATAACTACTAGGGATCTGTTGCTTGGATTTTGCAATGTGTAGAGGAGATTTGAGAAGCAAAAAGATAGAGTTGCACAGAGCCAAGCGTGAGGCTCTTCACTATTGAGGTTTCTAATCCATTCCATGGAAAAAGATTGTTTCTAAAATCTCCATCAGTTAAAAGAAGCCATTATGCTAGTGGACCAACCACTATGATTAATCAAAATCAAAATGATTTCACAATCTACAGCACCATGTACTGCCCCATTTTTCTAGAACAGCATCTTGTAGCTATCATTGATGAGATTTCCTGTATTATGCACAATAACACATTTTCTTGTTCTTATAGAAAAATAGAGAATGAAATGTGCCTTGTGCGGATTCAACTTGCTTGAGTATTAACGCTAATGTCAATTAGCAAGTTTACGAATTTTCTCTTAATTGACCAAGATTATCTCATTTAACATATTGCCTCACATGCCAGTCCAATATAAACTTTGACAAACTTAGTTAATAAAACGTGATCTTGACATTATAAGGATGTGAGAATACTCCTAAAATTAATTCACAATTAATTAATTAACCAACGTGAGATTCCCTTAATTGACAATGTGACATTTACTCACTTGACGATCATTTGATTATATCACATCTTTTTGGGATTTTCCAACTTAGCAGCCCTTTAATTATATCCCATTACTTATTTACATTAGAACATTTTTCTCCCAGAACTTGATTCAAGCATCTAAAAAAAAAAGATAAAAAAGAAGGGAAGTTGATCAAACAACAGCTACACCACAAACAAAGCAATCCTTAAAAGCTTGGAATTCAAGTATAATATGTAGAAAACGAGGCCAAACAGAGAAAACAGAGAATGAGGGAATGTTTAAACATCAGAATCACACCAAGCATTTCTTTTGTCACAAAGTAACACAGCTGCTTGATTTCAGCAACACTCATCAACACTCTAGATATCAACTAACTCCCATATTTACAGTATGACAAAACAACAGGCAGTCATGTTTGCATACTTGTATGATTGCACTATATAAGTGAAAAACACTAGAATGAATATGGCCTAACAAAACCAAAAACCGGCGAGAAAAACCAATATCAGAACATCAACTTCTCTATTTTCCTTTTGCTTCTGTTTTGAAATTCAGGGTTTCTTTCATCTGTCTGAAATTCAAATGTTGGGACAGGAATGATGTTCTATATAGGCTTGGTTCTTTGTCTATCATTCCTTCCATGGAGTCCTGGAGCTGCCAGAAAAAAATAAAAAATAAAAAAAGGAATAATTGGACTCAGAACACAAGAGGAAGCTTTAAAACTGAGAACCAAATACATGAATTCTATATTTCACTTTCTTACCAAGTCCATTAGCCTCAGAGGTCCTCATGATTCGAAGTCTTCTAACCGAGCTCAGGAACATCCTGAAATACAATTTAAAAGAAAAAAAAGAAAGCACCATGAGCATTAGAGGCATGACAAATGAATCAAACAGCTTCCTCTTCTTTCTCTTCTTTTTGGTGTTTTAAAGTGGCATACCCCCAAGGAACATCTCCGACAAGCATCCAGTCACCCTCTTTATCTTCGTAAGTCAGAACAAATTCTGATGATCCATCCAAGAGCCTTGAATGCTTTGTTGCTTGTTCTTTCTCAGCACCTGGTCCTAAACAAAAAGGCATGAGCTTATATTTGACAAGGAGATGAGGAAGGGAAAAGATCAAGCAAAACTTCTATGGTTACTCTTTTTTAGATAACTAAGAAACTAACCATGAATCCAATTCTATTTCCTATTCAAACATACTATAAGGTAAATGGAGATAAAATCTTTTATTAGATCATATATATATATATATATATATAAAGATTTAAATTGAGAGAAAGAGAGCTCACCAACTGGATTGATGGCTGAAGGGTTCCGGAAAAACATGTCTTCAAGGGCTTGGGCCAAAGTTTCATAGCAAGCATGAGCATTCAGATCCACCTTCCTTCCGATTGCAACTCCATCCACGTTCACCTTAACAAACCCCAGATGCCCTTTCTCATTAACACCACAATTCGTTTTGTTAACATTACAAATTTTCCTTTTCAAAGCTTCATTGGATTTATCTTTTTCACTCATTTCCTTCTCCTCTTCCGCTCTTGGAGCCTTTAAACTGTTCATCCTATAAGCCCTTATAGGTGGCCATCCCACAACTTGACTGCTTCCACATATACAATACACAAAATCAAAATACAGATTTTTTTTTTGGTTCCATTATAATCCCAACAACAAGAAGGCATCAAATTCAATATATAAGAAAAAAATTATCCAAACTTACACAGAACAAAAGGGAAAGTACGAATTTCAACAATAACAAACAAAACCTTTTAATTAATTAATTCAAAGACTTTTCATGTAGAGCATCAAAATGAACAAGAAAGAAGCAATTATTAAGGAAAAATAATGGTATGTCTCTATGAAGTATGAACACACCTGACAGCAGTGGGAGATCCACCCTCATGGGTAACAGAGTCGGCTGTCCTCTTGATTCCAGAGACGGCGGCAGCAGACGAAGGAACACCATTAGTCCTGTTAGAGACAACAGAGGGGAAGTCCTTAGCAGTCAAAATCCTACCACACTCACCCCATGCAGTGCTAGCCTTAGCCCTCCCTCCTCCACCTCCACCACCACCAAGGCTCAGCGCCAAACCCAACTCCAACTCACTCTCGGCAGCATATGAAGTTGCCTCAGATGACACTGCTGACTCATTTGTGGAAACCCCAGAAGAGCCCCCACCTCCTCCACCACTACCACCAAGCAAACACAAACCACCTTCCATGAGAACAAAATCAAGAACAGGGTTTTGACAGAGGTCAAGAAAAGGTCAAGTAAATAAGGGAGAGGACGGGTTTCTGGCTACGGGAAAGGAGGGGGAATGAAGTATAGGAGAGGGAAAGTAGGTTGGGAGAGAAGGTGGTGGAGGGAGTGATGACATGGGCCCATGTGTCTGCTAGTAGTGCGCCTAGCACTGTCTCTTTACTCAATTTTTCCTTGACATGATCATGACTCTTTAGAATCTGGTTTTCCTCTGTGGGTACAGAAAATGAAAAATACCCCAAAATTGTGAAACAAGAAAAGAAGTTGTAGATTCAAGCAACTGTTGATTTGAAGCAAAGTCCTTGTTTTCGCTCTGAATTCGGTGGTTACAAAACTGCTCTTTCCACTTACGTTCTTAAATGGTATAGCGTGAGAATAATTTCCATTTTTCAAAAAGGTCAGGCAAGAATATAATCTTAACCCATGTCTGATTTTTTCCATTTTGGTATAAGTCTCCATCAATTATGATGCTTAATCATGCTTATTTAGACTCAAAGCTTCGTGTCATTGTGTGGATGGTTGGTGAATAGCATTAACCTTTATTTAAGTCTTCATACGTACATTGGATTTCTAGCAAGTAAATGTCTTTGGCATCATGCTTGTCTCCAGCTGAGTTCATCTCTTGACTAAAATTAACTCAAAAAACATGTCCTACGTTTGAGTGGTGTTGAATTCAAGAGGAAACAAGCATTAAATTAGTATTAAATTTTACTGATACACCTTTTGGATCATCTAGAGATAAATTAATCTTGACATACTATTTAGCTAATCTTGTTACATGCAATTGTTATATCCAGGCATACAATTTTTTCACCAGCAACGTGCAAGTGTATAATTGTTCATCATTACAAAAATATGAAGAAAATAAAGTATATATATATATATGTAGAAACGAAAATGATTTAAAAATAATTTTTTGTATAGTCTTATGTATTATATAAATTATTGACTCTTTTTTATTCATTTGAGATATATAATATTGAGGGTATGTATTTATATTATAACACATGAAAATTGTATAAAAGAAATTCGTTTCTATATCATTTTCCATATGTAAAAATCATGGACTAGATATGTTAGTTTCTTTCGTCAGATACAAAGCATATATATTGAACTTCTTTATTTTTGGAAAAGTTCAGAAAATAGAGGAAATTTAGTTCATCTTAATCTTACTGAGAAAATTACAGCACAAAAGAATTTCTCCAAATTCCCAAATCTATTTTGGTAATTATGATGCTCAATTAGAGTATAAAGAATTGGAGCTGAGGTGGCCTTTCCATTGTATCTTTAGCATAATAAAAGCATACAGTTGGGATTAAAGTCTAAAGTTTTAAGCTTTTCACGAGGAAAAAGCATATTCTAATGCTTCCTTTACCCCTCAAATACTCCCTTTGCTTTCTTCCTATGTGTTGTCTACTATTTCAAGGACAAAAGGCTTAAACCCTTGTTTTAGAAAGTTGAGACCTAAAGAGATTATGCACTGTCAAGTGGGATGTGGGGCTGCCCCCCAAAAGAAAAAGCTTAAACTTTGAGGAACATAGATTACAAAGGAACAAACTTATTAAACTATTTATTAACCAAAAAAAATTTATTAATCATTACCATTTAATTAGTTTTAGCAAGGATGCTATAACAAATAAAGTTGATATATTTATAATCTTATTTTGTAATCACCATACAATATTAAAAATATGGATGCATATTAATCATGTGTATGTGTAAATTAAACGAAAAAGACCAATTATAATTAATGAATGGCTTGTGATTATGATATACAACCATGAATCCTAACAAAATTGTCCCTTACTAATTTTGGGCCATAATGATAAAAAAATAAAAAATAAAAAAACCAAAATTTTTTTTAAAAAAGGGGGGGTGGGGGGTTGGGCCATATGAGGGAGAAATGGAAGAATTAAAATATTAAAATAGGTGTGAATATGGTTGCGTAATAATATATTAGGCCACACAATTTGATTAATATGTTATTAATTTATAGTAATATTTTTAAATAATTAATTATAATAATTAAAAAATATTTATTTATAAATAATTTTAATTTATTAAATAATACAAAATAAATATTAATTATTATTTTTTTGTACTAACCCTTATCTAAAATTCATATTAAACTTTAATTAATCTAAAACTAAACTGTGTCAAATTTTATAAAAAAAACTAACTTAACACTTATTTTTTATTTATAAGATTTGAATTCGAAACTTTACTTATAAAAAATTAAGTTCTTTCTACTTAAATTAATATGTTATTAGTGTTAATTATTTTATTTTTAATCAATTATTCTTAATACTCAAATTAAATAACTTCAACGTTGTTGAAGATAAAATTGATAAATTTATGTAGCGTAAGATATTATTGTTATGGAGTTGTAACCGCAACCGCTTAAAATGGGGCGGATCCGGAGGACCGGAATAAAAACGGCTAACGCAGGGACAAGGAGACAAGGTCACGTGACATTACTCTCCGTTAAAGTAACGTCAGTCCGACAAGGTACGCGGCTGACCGGGCAACTCCCAACTCTCTTCTGTTTACGCAAACTTTCAGTCCGACCCGAGACAGCTCGCCACTTTTTCTGTCATTGTTGCCCACGCTCTACTTTCCACGCGCTCAACTTTCAGTCCGACTAGTATTATTTTGGTTAAAGTACCATTTTGGTCCCTCAACTTTTTACTTTAGTACCAAAAATGTCCCTCAATTTTAAAAAATACCAAAATTATCTTTAAACTTTCATTTTCGGTACAAAATGGTCCTCCCGTCAGTTAAATGCACATGTGGCACGTTAAGATGCCACAAAATCATTGGCTTTTTAAAATTTTGATGACATGTATATCCAACAAAGAAAATATTGTTCACTGTGGCATTTTTTTTACACGTCATATTGTCATCTTCTCAGTTTCTCTTTTAGTGGGGCTCACATAAAACTTTTGTTTTCTCTTTTTCCAGTTTCAATCAAGTTCCTCGAAAATCACAGTTCAATTATCTGCGTTTCTTTTCATTTCCTTTTCAAATTCAAAACCCCAAACCTACTACTACTCCTACAAAATTGAAATCAAACTCAGATCATCTTTCTGTTTTCTTCTTCTTGTTCTTTCTCTCTCTCTCTTCTCCCTTCTTCCTCTCTCTCTCTTCTCCCTTCTTCCTCCCCAAATCTGGGTTTTCTCAAGCTTGCTGAACCACCGCACGCCTACCGGACCCATTAATTCTTATTCTTTCTCTCTCTCTCTCTCTTCTCCCTTCTTCCTCTCCAGATCTGGGTTTCAAACCCAGATTTGGGTTTTCTCAAGCTTGCTGAACAACCGCACGCCTGTCGGACCCATTGATTCTCGAAAGAAAGAGATAGAGAGAAGAAAGGCTTTTTACTCTCTTAGATCTAACTTTTTGATTCCTCTTTTCTTGATTCAAGAATACCGCTGCATTTTCTAGTCCAATCGCGTGCATTTTCTGGTGAAAGAATACCGCTGCTGCGACGAATTCTTCATGAGCGGCGAATTTGAAGATCGACTCCGAGACGAACCTTCCTTCTTCGACAGCTTCCACTTCTCGTCGAAATAGAAGTTCGATTGTGCGGTCGCAGTTGTAGCCAGCACGGTAGCCATGGAATCGATTCTCAGGGTAAAAAATGGAAAACGGACTTGAAGCAAAGAGGGAAAAACCTGAACAGAACAGAATAGAACAGAGGGGTATTGAGTTGTTGAGCTGAATTCACTGAAGAGGTTGGAGAGTGAGGGTGGGTTTGGGGTAATATTTGATTTTAATTTCGCAGAAGTAATAGGTTTAGGGTTTTGAATCTGAAAAGGAAATGAAAAAGAGAAACGAAGAAAACTATTTTTGGGGAACTTGATTGAAACTGGAAAAAGAGAAAACAAAATTTTTATGTGGACCCCACTAAAAGAGAAACTAAGAAGATGACAATCTGATGTGTAAAAAAAATGCCACGGTGAACAATATTTTCTTTGTTGGATATAGATGTCATCAAAATTTAAAAAAGCCAATGATTTTGTGGCATCTTAACGTGCCACATGTGCATTTAACTGACAGAAAGACCATTTTGTATAGAAAATGAAAGTTTAAGGATAATTTTGGTATTTTTTAAAATTGAGGGACATTTTTGGTACTAAAGTGAAAAATTGAGGGATCAAAATGGTACTTTAACCTATTATTTTCTAATTTCGTTATAGTAATAAAACAATGAATTCCCTAATTTAAGTACTTTCGTAGATCATAAATTTTATTTTAATATTTTTTTAAAGTAAATTTACAATTTTTTTTTGAAAAATATAATTTTTTTTAGTCAACTTAAGTTTTAGTTTTTATTGAGAACTTGAGATTAATATAACTAT